TTCGTGCTCAACTTAGTTATCAATCTTATCATATTTGTTTGACATCTTTGATACAAGTAACGAGTTCACTTCCAAGTGAACAACCCGATAGTCTTCTTCTTATCATAGCATACCAACCAGCGAACACCCAGCCAAGTTTAGTTAGCCAGTTTGAGTATTCGTTACAGTTTAGTATAGTAATATTTCATTGTATGTATAGAGTAATGACCAGGTTTCTTACTTGGATCAAGTATACAAGGCTGATTTCATTGACCTGACCATTTCATATACACGTCTGTTCACCCATCTGTTGGCTATTAAAGAGAACGTTAACGCATCAAGATTCTATACGCGAAATGTCACCCTGTGAAGATGCGCCTCCTCCGACCCAATAGTCGCTTACTATACTGATGTAATTGAACTGACAAGCCTTAATTCTACCTTTGAAGTAGGGCTAGAATTAGGGCTTATGTCTTCAGATGCCATAAATCCTTCTGCATAGGGACTCGAAGGTGGGTGTTAGCTTTTGCGAATTTTTCAATGCATGGAATGATGGCTTATCTTTTCATAATTGTACTTATTCTTAAGGGCATTTCAATACTTAGGCTCGATCTGTGGATAAATACTGTCCGAGGGGTTACAGGGGTTATGAAGTGAGGAGAGTTACGTCACAATAGAAGAAGTCAACTTCACCTTCGAGAGCTAAGCGAGGTGGGGTAGCGTTTCGATCTGGACTCTTTCTTTCTCAACTCATCTGCACAATACAAACTCCTAACTACACCCAGAGTATCTATCAAGCCAGCTTACTGCAGTCCTGCTCCCACCCTATCTATCATACCAAGTACTGCTGGTTCTCAGTGATACCTTCGTCATGGATACAGATGCAGCTGAACTCATGGTTGAGCAAATTCTGAAGATACGGCATATTTCAATCTTGGCAGTCACTTCGTTGCTGATAGTTTCAATAGAGGCTCGAGGGAATTCCTATCGCAGCGGATGGCGATCTCTTTATCAACCTCTATACCACGCGATACGTCGGCAACAGCACCTTCCCCTCAGCCTTGAACAACAAGCCTATAGAGGGAAAGATTCTTTCAACAGTGAAAGTTCGACGTCAAGTCTTAGCTGAGAACTTTGATTTCTTTAAGAGCATGCTCAGTAGAAACCAGTTCGGCGAACGTTCACAAGGAACTATTGACATTCACTGCGACTACCCTCTAGCGGCTCAACTGTGGTTCCGTCTCTATCATGATGGTCCACTTCCCGAAGTATTTTCTGAAACCCCTGTCGAAGAGGTATGGAATGTGATTCGTAAGTACCGACCTTGCTCTACTTGATGGCAAGCTGTAGCTGACCTTGAGTTGATAGACTGGGGAGGATATCTTCAAGCTCAGCACAACTCGGATCAAATCGACTTGAGCAAATTGTGGCCTTGGTTTGATAAAGTGCTCGAAAGATACGACCCCGAGAAGATGGATATTGATACCACGAGAATGTTTCTATTTCCTTGCTACGCATTTGATCACGCTGAGGGCTTTGCCGAAATTACAAAAAGACTGGCATACGAAATGGCCTCGCACATTCAAGAGAAGAACCCTTCAAGCTATTTCCACGGTCATCTGGATCATCATATCATTGGTAAGCCCCAATACTCGCTTCCTCCTGCATCTATTAACACAAAAAGGTGCACTAAATGCGGCTCGCGGCAGCTTGAGAGGAAACCTCATCCGCGGACTTTTCGATCCTGTCAGCTCCTTCCTGAATGCAAACTGTGAATGCAAGGAGAAGTCTCTCTTTTCATACTGTGAAGCACTCAGAGGCACCGAAATCTGACCTCTTCACGACCAACACAAAAAGTCCATCAACCGTGTCATCCAAAGCTCGGGATTTGTCCGCTTCCAATGCGAGATTCCAGAAAATGCTTGCACCAAATGTGTGCAAAAGTTGCAAGGCTCTGCAGTCCAACATGTTGGTTACGAAATTGCTGAATCATTCGATGGCTTGTGTTTAGATTGCATCAACCAAACGAGTAAGGATGATTATAAAGATATTGACCGGGATTATTGGACCCATGCTTCGCGAGAAGATTATGATTTTGGTTGCCGAATTTCTCATGAGCAGCCAACTTGGTACTTTTCGTATATGGGCAGGAGATCAGTTGTGAAGAAGTTCATGGCCGCGAATGGGGGAAAAAACAATGGGGAAAACGGCTACTCCTTCAGAATCCAGTGAGTTTGATTTATTGATGACTACAAGATGGAAAAATGGTCTTATATTCTCTCCTCTCTGGTAGATGGAGAGATATTATGCCGGGAAAGGGGAAAAAGGAAACTTGCAGGATGAGTAATTTTTGCTGCTTTAAGGACTTGATAACTGGTTATCTTTTCTTCTCGCAATATCTTCGCAGCGCTCATCATAATGGTTAGCGAATTGCATACTGTATCTCTATGATCTGGCAACTTGTGAGAAAACTGGTAATTAAGCTTATGAACTACATAAAATAATCCCATCAATTGAGTGCAAGAGTTCTAGAGCATGTGAGAGATCCGTCATGGTCAGAATATGTCGACTTCACCTTTGAGAGCAAGGTCGCGAAGCGAGGCGAGGCGGGGTAAGACCTTGCTCGAGTAAACTTCCAGGCTCTTCCATCCCACAACACCACAACACCACAACACCTCAACACCTCAACATCACAAAACATTCAAGATGTCGAACATGGAGAGTTCCGAACGCGAATACCAGGAGACCATTAAGAAGCTCACCGCGGTAAGAATGTTTCATAACTGTCTCAACACTGTATACTTACAAAGGAACAGAAGCTTGAGGGAACTGACATCAACTCCGAAGGAGACCTCACTATCCGTCTCTATACCGTTGAGGGTGTAGGCGACAGGACTTTCAAGGCCGCGTCAAGTGGAAATCCTATCAAGGGAAAGATCTTAGCGACCATCAAAGTCACTCGTCAGGTTCTGAACGACAACTTTGATTATTTTAGGGCGATGTTTACGCGTGAACGCTGGCTTGAGTATGATCAATCTGTCATCGACATAGAGTGTGACCACCCTCTTGCAGCAAGAATTTGGTTTCACGCATATCACGAAGGCGGGATTCCAGCAAGCTTCAGTGAAATGCCAGTAGAAGAGGTCTGGCAAGTCATTGGTAAGTCGCCCTTCTGTCACTCATCTCATCATGTATGTCCTTCTGCATGCATAGCGATATTGCTTTCCCTCTGTTTTTGCGATGAGAAGTTTAAATCTTACTCATACTCTTCTAGAATTCGGTACCTTCATCCAAGCAAAGCGTCCAAACGAGGCGGATTTCAGCAAGTTGGAAACTTGGTTTGGAGAGGTTGTCAAACACCACGATGTCACAAACGTGAAGAATACAAAAGACAATGAATTGAATATTCGGATGCTGCTTTACCCTGCCTACATCTTTGATGATGCGAAGGTATTTGCCTCGCTCACCCAACTCTTGGCATATTCTTTCGCAGGCCATATCACAGAGTCCAATCCAACGGACAATCGCCGCCTTCACTTGGATGGAAACATGGTCGGCAGGATGGTTGCTTATTGCTGTCATTGCACATTTGCTAACAAGATATGCCTGTATCAGGATCACTAAATGGAGCCCGCGGTAGTTTGAAGAACCAACTAGTCGGTGGATTTTTCCAACCTCAAGAGGAATTCCCGAAGCTGAGTTGCAAGTGCAAAGGCGATTCCGTCATCGAGTATCTCAAGGCCGTACAAAAAACCGAAATCTGGCCAGTCCAAAGACTTCAGCAAAAATCAATCTTCGACATTATCGACTGCCCTGGTACTATAAACTTCGCATGCAAGATTCCCGAGAATGCCTGTATGCACTGCAGACGTTTGCTCAGCAGGACTGTTATCAGCGAGCTCCGTATGAAGGTCGCTACTAGTTTTCAAGGCATCTGCTTGGATTGCGTAAAGATGACCAAGACGGAAGACGTTGATTCGGATTACTGGACACATGATGAAGATAGAGCATGGGATGAAGATTGCCGAATTTCACATAAACAGCCAACTTGGTATTGGTCATTCATGGGAAGAAAAGATATTATGGAAAAATATCAACTCAGAAAGAAGGAGGCATGGGAGCGGCGCCGTCACTGATAGAACGAATCTTGCTATGACATGGCCATCCAGGTACGTCTCTTCCGTGGGATGGGTGAGCGTTATGGATATCCACGAAGACAAGAAGAGCTCTCAGTGCCAGAGGATATGTGGGTGTCAGGACTGCACAAGGAAAAAATCAAAAGGTTTAGTCACAAAAGATCTTACTACGGCTGGGCTTCAGTCCATCTCTCCAGAAGTTGACTACTGAAAGGAAAACTAGCAATTAACTGGGTAAAATACAAACCCCTTTTCAAGCCTCTCAGGTCCCATAAACCACTGCTTACATGAATCCAAACATTCCGTGACCCACAAACCAATCGCAGGAAAACCAAAACGAGACCATAATACAAAAAACCCGCTTTTACACTCCCACCTCTCTGAAGACTCGACTACAATAGCCAACAAAACCACAGCTGCCAAAGGTCTTTGCACTCTCTAGTCTAAGTCACCTCTACCTACCTCTCCAGCATGAACCCCGAGTCTATAGATCACCTATACCCAAGCAGAATAAGTTATACCAAACCCCCTACCCGCCATCCACAACCCCATTGAAACAACGCAACACAATACCCTTTCATATACAAACACCCTGCACATACTTCACAGAAGAATCCCGCACTACAGTACTAAGTATCTCTCTTCCCCCGTCGCTCTACCTAGTTTAGGTTACGTCCCTCTCTGGTATACCACCGGGTATATCTCAACCCTTTGAATTCCATACTATCCTCGTAATTCTAACTCAAACTCAACCAGCCAAATACAAAACCACTCCCCAAAAGGTGTAAAGAAAAGTGTTAAGATATATTTGAACTTGACCACTACTACCACGGATAGATGTCAAGTATACTCCCAAGCTTACACCAAGTAGTCTTTCAACCAACCTGTTCTGGCAAACTGGCATCAACTCTCAAAAATACTGTACACGAGGGGAAGGTTCATAAATGAAACGAAATCTCTTCTCGATTTCATATCATAACGTAAAATCCAGCAACCGCTGAACAACTGGTATCAAAAAGAAACCCCCCATACGCCACAATACCATGCTATGCTATGCCACACCATACCATACCGTCCATCAGCAATCAACCCGTTCACTAATTTAGTATCCCCTACCCATACCCATCCCATTCCCATGATCCACCACTCAAAACCCAGCATAAAACCCACCCACATCATCTCTTCCCTTTCCCCTTCCCCTTCCTCCCCTTCTCCACCATCAACGGCGGCGGCACAGGCACACTCACAGTCCCCCCCTCAATCTCACCTCTCTCCAGTCCACCTCCGGACCCTCCATCCGCAGCATTCTCCTGGGCCTCCATATCCTTCAACCGTTCCCCAGCCGTAATACTAAACAGCAAATCACGATTCTCCTCCTTCAGCTCCTCATTCTCACCTCTCACCTTCGCAACTTCCTTGGTCAGGTCCTCGAAGTTTTTATTCAGATGTTCGATCCGCTCCATCAGACCCTCACTCACCTTCTTCTCTTCCACGAGACTGCTTCCGAACCGGCGCGCCACCTCGGAGGACTTCTCAGCTTTCTTCTTTTCGCGCGAGAGTTCCTTTTCGAGGTTGGCGATGGTTTCTTGTTTCAGTTTCGTGTTTTCGATTTCGAGGATTTGGAGACGGGAGAGTGCTTCTTCGGCTCGGGCAGAGGCACTACTCGCTGCTGAAGAGGCAGCAGAGGCTTTAGCCACCGCCTTACCCACCAATTCCTCAAAGTACACACGTTGACTCTCCAGCTGGCTGGTGAGGAGATGGGTATACTCCATCCCAATCCCCTCCAACTTCTCTCTAGGAACCATCTCCATATTCTGCATCTCATGTCTCCCTCTCTCCCCACCATACCCCATCGGTCTCGAGGATGAAGGTAACTCGATCAGTTTCTCATCGCCTTTATCCCGGATGAGTCGGTGAACCCACATATCCCCCGCGTAATCCCACACATGTTGCGTCTCGATTTCGAGCGCGAAGTTGTGGGCTACTTCTTTCCAGTGTTCTTTTGCGTGGCCTCCTTTGTAGCGGCCGCAGCCGACGTTTCCGCAGATGAGACAGATCCAGAGGTCATCCGCACAGTCACATATACTGCAAAGTTGGGCTTCGCCACTACCAAATGGTGGGTTGGAGGGGTCATGGGGGTAGGTATTGGGGGTGTTTTGGCTGGGTGGCGGATTGGTATGTCGACATACGGGACAGCCACTTCCTTTCCATTTCTGAAGACAAGCACAATGGAAGACGTGTTGACAGAGAATGGTGAGGAGACCGGTGGTATCGTCCATTCTTTCCAGGCAAACAGGACATGTTGGTAGCTCAACGAGATCTGGAGTTGGCGGAGGAAATGGTTTCAAGAAGGCAGATGCCGCAGTAGATGGTGTAAAAGGATCATGAGAGAGCTCCGGGAAACTAGTATTTGATCGCGAGGAGTTGGGTGCTTGAAAGGTAATCGATTTGATGAATACAACATGACAAGTTTCTGGCTATTTCCAATGGTCAGATAAGAGTAGAATACATGAAGACTGGGGTTTCTCACCTCCATACTGTTGAAGACCTTTCCATCCCACTCTGCTCTCCACCTCCTCGCCTCCCCATTATCTCTGAACTTCATGAGAACTAGATACCGATTCATTCTCTCCGTCAAAACCATTCTAAAATGGCTAACCTGCTCCCTCGTCTTCTCACCCACAAACCCCAAGAAATCACTGGGAGTAAGATAGCTAGGCACAGCCGGAATACACAGCGTAGTGCAATCTTCTCCCTCTCCCTCGCCATCATCCTTTATCCGTAAACCAGCAAGAGAAGAAGTAGCAAGACCACGCTCAGGAGTATTCGTCCCAGAACCCGGTGCAGCACCGATCCCCAACCCAGGCGTCTCCTCCCCATCCCGATACAAATGCACAACTCCCCACCCAACCTCCGTATTCCTGCCCTCAAGAACCTCATACAAAGCCTTCGTGACCCTCCCTCCTACCCCGGCCGCAAGCCCAGCATTAATCCCACTCGTACCCCTCCGTCCGAACTGCAGAGCCCCATTACCATTATTCCCACTACTCTCACCCCTCATATGTCCCCCTCGATCGCTATCTCCCACCATATCAAAGCTCTCAACCCGTATCCGATCAAACCTCCAATCCCTCCTCGCAACCCTCAAATCCCCCAGCTTCGGCCTCGGCGCCGGCGCAGGAAACCCCAGATCCCTCTTTGTAACGATCGTTCGTCCCACGCCAGTCCCCTCGACTTCCCTACTACTACTCAAAGCCCTCGAGGGCCCGCAGTCAATAACCCCCCCAGATGCCGGAGGTACAAGCTCTTGTGTCGCGCTCCGCAGATGCAATCCATTCGATGTTTTCCTTCTCTCAGAGCTCGAGCTCAAGCTTAAGCTCTCCGAAACTTGTCGCGGGGATTTGGCAGGTCGTGGGTGGTTCGGCCAGTTATTCTGGGTAAAGATATCGCTGTTGGAAGGTGGTATCCAGGTCGGGCTTTTTGCGTTGTTTGGTTCGGGGTTGGGGTAAAGTTCGAATTTCAAATGGTAGTAGTAGGAGGGCATCCTCTCGGTCGCTGCATGCGACGACCTGTAAGGTTAACCATAGAAATTTCAAGGGCGCTTATGGCGTGACGGATGTAGAATTGTCAGCAATCGTTCATGTGAGTTAGTGGCAACTTATTTGTAGGGTTTTCGGCGGGTGGATGTGGCAAGAAATTATTTTGTCAACAATATGGCGGGGTTGTACGGGCAGAAGTTGAGATACTACGAAACAAAGAATCACAGGGAACAAGAGACTCAAGTCACAATTGACAATACAGTGTCACATCGGTCACAAATCGATATTCAGATGAAATTCACGAGTAAATTATACTCTTATTGGCTGCTATTTGATTCACATCAAGTGCATAGTTGAAGTTTGCCTATGCCCATATCCCGCAAACTCCAGATCTCATAAGATCACCAACGCCAATGCAGAAACACCCGAGTCGAAAACTATGTACATTATCATTGTCCTCCACGTAGACGAAGCACCAAGTGCAGGGTGCTCTCCTTTTGGATGTTGTAGTCACTAAGGGTACGACCATCCTCCAATTGCTTACCAGCGAAAATTAATCGCTGTTGGTCTGGTGGAATACCCTCCTTATCCTGGATCTTGGACTTGACATTATCAATTGTGTCCGAAGACTCAACCTCTAACGTAATTGTCTTGCCTGTCAAAGTCTTGACAAAGATCTGCATACCACCGCGAAGACGAAGAACCAAATGAAGAGTGGACTCCTTTTGGATGTTGTAGTCAGACAAGGTTCGGCCATCCTCAAGTTGCTTGCCTGCAAAAATGAGTCGCTGCTGATCAGGTGGGATACCCTCCTTGTCTTGGATCTTGGACTTCACATTATCGATAGTATCAGAGGATTCAACTTCCAGAGTGATTGTCTTTCCAGTCAAGGTCTTAACGAAGATCTGCATACCACCACGGAGTCTGAGAACCAAGTGGAGTGTAGATTCCTTCTGGATGTTGTAGTCCGAGAGAGTGCGTCCGTCCTCAAGTTGCTTACCAGCGAAGATAAGACGTTGTTGGTCCGGTGGGATACCCTCCTTATCCTGAATCTTCGACTTAACGTTGTCAATGGTGTCGGATGATTCAACCTCGAGAGTAATGGTCTTGCCAGTCAAAGTCTTGACGACTGCGGAAATGCGTTAGCAGGTGAAGGGATATGAGCGGTGAAGGCGAGTTACTTACAGATTTGCATACCACCACGAAGACGGAGGACCAAGTGGAGAGTAGACTCCTTCTGGATGTTGTAATCGGAAAGGGTACGACCGTCCTCGAGCTGCTTGCCGGCGAAAATCAAGCGCTGTTGGTCTGGGGGAATGCCCTCCTTGTCCTGGATCTTGGACTTGACGTTGTCGATGGTATCAGAAGACTCTACTTCGAGAGTAATAGTCTTACCAGTTACTGAGGAGATGGAGATGTTAGCAGATGCTTGATGCCGATGCTTAGATATGATGGTCGATGGCTCTTGTCGCCACCGGTCGGAGAGGAAGGGTCAGAACTTACGGGTCTTGACGAAGATTTGCATCTTGACGATGTGATGGGTGTGGTGTATGAAGTTTGGAGATGTTGTTTGTGTATGGGATGGAATTTCGGATGCAGAGAAAGTGTATGAAGTCGATCGCAGAGGTGTGGTATGAGAGTGTTTTGGTAGGAAAAAGATTGGGTTGAGGAGTAAGAGCAGGCGTTATTTAAGGCAGAGGGAGGCGGGCTAGAGCACGCTAGTCCAGATTGGGCGGCGCTGGCCTGGGGGCTGGGGGGGGGTACTGGAAGGTTCGAAGCACTGCCACCGATACCAATTCACTTCTACACCGTCTGACTCAAAGCAAGCTTTGTTATTAAGGTGAATGAAATCTAAAGCCTTTACTGCACTTTTCTTGCTACTTGGCTCTACACTTTCTTCAATTCACTCATCAAAGGTGAGGCTCCTTCACATTCAGGCTCCCGTCGTAGCAGCTCAAGTTGGGGAAGGCGGCGGATGGCACGATAAGAGCTAAGAGCGGGCGATGCGGCAGCCAACGTCACCTGCAATGGGACTCCGCAAGCGGGCGGAGGCGGGGTCCAAGGTTGCCCAGCCTAGCCAGCGAGCCAGCCTTCTCCCGTTCAAGTCGCATTCACCAACCACCAGCTCGGCAGAGCAGAGCAGAGCTTGGAAATCACCCAACACGAGGCTATTCACGACACTTTGTAATCTTCTACCGAGACATACCACCTTCGCGCATTATCACATCGAATGATTATTCATCTCCTGCATTACTCTGCAGAGGGTGGTCCCGGCAAATCCCTTATCACGATCCGAACTCAGACCGATAACGGCGAGAAAGTACCGGGAATGACGTATCAGCGATTCTAGATTTGACCTTTTGTTGGGCCTGGGCAATCCCCGTGAGCGATACGCCGGATACGAGTGAGTGTACCAGATATAGAATTGTTGTATCAAGGGGGTATTATTAGCAACGAACAAGTGTATTAAGTGTAGATCTGGGGGGTTTACTTGCACGCTTTAAGCTTTTCCTACTTTACGTTGATTGAGTACTAAGCCTTGGACAAGCAATATCCGGACTCAAACATGGTTATTCTTCACAACAGCTCGTTCAATTACCTCGAGGTGATACTGTGATCCGAAAACAAAATAGTATATATATTCCCTTAGGAGGGAATTCTCGTTTACTTGAACGGCTTGTTCTAGTACTCACCTCAAACCCCAGATCCAGAAGAGATATACCTAGCTATCAAGACCCGCCGTGAACATCAAAAGTGGCAAAAACTAGCTTCCGCCACTCCATCCTTCCAGAACCTCCCTAATCAATATGATAATTCAACTCTACTCAAATAATAAGCTCATCTCTCAAAACTACCTACGAGACTAACACGCATAAATCACCGCAATGCCAGAAGCTCAAAGTGATTCCAGAACAACCTTAGTCTCTTCTCCGCCACTTCCAACATCCATCGGCGCTAGCCTCTCACGCCTCCAACTAACGCAGTGGCAAATCGAACATCTACCCGGTAACTGTAACTAGTCCAACCCATCCCAACCCAACCCTATCCCATCCCACTAACCCTCCTCATACAAGTACCCCACAGACAACAAAACCAATAAACCTTATCCATTCCCTCTTACTTTAGCAGCTAAGAACAACCTCGTGCACCAGAGAACCACCCGGCTAAATCGCGACTCTATACTAGCACTAGCACACCAACCTAACCCCATCGAGTCCGTACTCAAAAAAGTAAAGTGTAAACTGTAAAGTGTCCATTAATAGTGTAGTGCATACCAATAATCTGGTAACTGCACTGCACAGCACAGCACAGCACAAATTACGATTCCCATTTCCATTCCCGTTCCCTCCATCCAGACCGACTTTTCATCCCCATCGCAACCATCGCAACCATTACAACCTTGAACCTCCCTCACTACACCACCAGACAAACTTTCCACCATTCCAACTTCCCTCTGCAGCGTCTCGCTGAAATACGACGAACTTATCAGTCCAAGAAAGGACGATAGGAGAGGTTGACTCAGACATGTGTTCCAAAGTTAACAATTTATTCAGGGGTTTTGTTGTTCCAGATTAGGTCATTTGACGAGCGTTAGTGCTAGTACGGAGGTGCAAAGGGGGTAGGTAAGCCTTAGATGGGATGGATGCAACCTGGAAATGCGAGTGATGGATGGCATATGATCACTAAATGGTACCTACCACCTCACCTACGTCCCATCCAAAATCACGCAATCCCATCAAGGCACATGCTATACCAGGCATAGGTACTGTACTCTAGACACAAGATCAAGATCAAACAACCGCGAAGCGATAAGAAAAAACCCAAGATTCAGTTTGATTCAGTTCAGGTTAAGAGGTAAAAAATTTTCAGTTCCAGTCAGTTTTGTTTTCTCTGGCATCTTTTCAATTATTCATCTGGGATAAAAGTGATAATATTGTTCTTCTTTTTTTCTCGATCGATAAAATAAAATCCATCCAAAGATTCCCTTCTCTGAGATACAGAGTGTCTTCACGTCCCAAGAAAAAAAAGGTAAGAGATTTAGGTAGTAAAAAAGATGATTTGATAGATTTTTCCTTCTCTGCTCCAGACATGCAGGCCCTTGTCCGTGCCTCAAATCAAGAGGTTAGGGTAGGTTGTTGATTCCCAAATGGCCACCCACCCTGGGCTTTCCAGTGCCCAAAGGTTAGATTCAAGTTAAATAAATAAAAAAAAGAATATCCAGATCCAAAGGAAAAAAAGCAAAAACAGACAAAAACAGCCATAATACCATAACCCGTTAAAACGTACGTACGTAAAAAAAAAAAAAAGTTCCATGATCATAAGCGTCGATCATTCATACAAAATAGAGCCTCGCTCGCAGGTCTCCTGTCCTCAACAAACAAATAGCAATCATAAGAGGGGGTCGTTTGTCATAAAATCGCTATGCCCAATCAAATCAATCGTCGTAAGAGAAAAAAAAAGGTCCGAGGAAGAGATAGACAAAAATTAAGTGAAATCTCTCTTCCCGTTCTTCTTCTTTGCTTCATCAAAATAAAAAATAATGCAAGTAATGATGGTTGCCCTCGCTGTAGGCCGCTCCCGAAAGACAAAGGAGAAGGAATTCTTCTGTACAAAGGAAAGTGATAAAAGTTAGATCTGTCACTCGATATGGGAGTCGACGAGATCCTCCAGTGGCAGCATCGCTGCGGAATGTAGACGAATATGCACAGTGGGTATATAGAAACGATATATGCAGAGGAGGAAGGAAGAGTGTCCCTTTTTAGTTGGCCCGGATGACGAGTTTGGAGAGGAATTTGTTGGATAAGCAATCAAAATCTCTTCGGTCAAATTTGGCGTTGGGGCGGGTCTTGAGATAATCCTCTGTTGAAATGTTAGCACCATGAATCAGGACTTTGCATTTGAAGCGGCTTACCATGCTTCGTAACGTGTCCTCTCATCTCAGTCATGGCTTCACAAACGGCCATATTGTTGTTGAGTAATTGTCCATGTCTTCTGGTCTCCCATTCAGTGAATGAAGGCAGTTTCTGTGAGATGGCGTGGAAAAGTCCAACGATGACACCAACGGGGGTGGTCTCCATGTCGTTGCAGAATTTGTTGACTGCCGCGGTATCGGGAACACGGTAATGGCAATCAAATTGCATCTCTTCCCAAACGGCGAGAAGGATCGATGCAAGCATGAAGATTGTGGGCCAGTTCTTGAGTCTGTCCCCACTGTACACGCTAGAGTACAAAGACGACAACTCTTCAAGAATTTCCTTTTGAAGCTCACGCCACATATCTGCAAGAGCGCACTTGACCTGGAAGTTGATCATGACAGGTGCGATAACCTTTCCATTGTATTTGGAGTCTTCATAGTCGATATAACCCTCCATTGGGTGCTCATCACCACGCTGCTCAACCATGGTGACATGTTGAGTAAGGTTGTAAGCAAGAACAAGCTTCAAAGCTTTTCGGACTACCGGAACCTTCTCTTTGGCGTAGTAGCGGTGGGCGGTCTTCAAAATCTCTGTGATGAACGGAGTTCCCTCAAAGTACTCATCGACAAACTCTTCGAACGGACCATCCAAATGTTTATCCAGGTATTCTGATAACGCCTCAGTTGAAACGCCTTCAGCACCGGCTGACATTCTCTCGGTTCGAGTATCAAACTCAAGAGGCTCTTCATGATCTGCTGACTCGACCCAGTCGACTTGGAAGCAACTGTCGTCACTGACATAAACTTCACGTGCCATGATAGGAATAGCGAATCCATAGCCGTGGGTAATCCATATCAGCTCCTCCTTCTGAGCGAAGCCTTTGATGTTGTAGACGGAGACACCACGGCCAGTATGACGCTCGTGATCTGCGCGCCAGTCCTTCATGAAATAGCCGATGTCCTTGATATCGATACGTGTACAAGGAACCTGCCATAATCTGGCATGCGATGGTTGGCAACCAGCACAAGGCTCTCCTTTATCACACGTCTTCTTCAAGAACTTGCAACGCAGACATGCTCTGAGCTTTCTGATCTCGCTTGCTTGTTTTCGTTGCTCGGGTAATAATGGACCGCGTCGTCTACCGACACGTTTTTCTGTGTCTTTCTTTCCATTTGATGAGGTACGGCGGATGACGGCCTTGGTGGCTTTGGCCGATGGGCTTTTTCGTGGGGCGGAGTTTCTACGAGCAGGAGGTGATGAGGTAGAAGATGGGGTGGTTCTACTCGAAGGAGACATCTTGATGGGAACAGGAGGGACGGCGGCCGCAGGGCTCACAATCTCATGGTTGTGTTGATGTGATGACTCCCCATGGTAACAATTTCGGTGGCCAGTTGTATCGATGTAGTTATCGGATTCGGGTGAGTATGGCGAGTACGGGGGATAAGATGCAATGTCCTCGAAGCTTCCGAAAGACTCTATTGTGTGCCCCGTACCATCTGATTGCGACGAGTCCGAGTGTGTTCTGAGATGTAATGTTTGTCCGGGGTTGAAGATTGCAGCATTCTGTGCTTGTTGGTATGCATCAAAAGTTGGGAACGTATCGACAGTAGTCCATCCATTATCACTACTTGAACTGGGAAGAGATAGAACTTCTAGATATGTTCCTGTTGGCGAGTTGCTACCGAGACTTTGACGTCCTAAACTTGGTAATCCATCGTTGGTACCCGTAAAATTCATCGCATGTTCAATCTCCTGCCAGTTTGCCCACATCGCCGCCTGTTCCACCGTTTGTGCCAATCCATTAAATGGCGCCTCCATCTGTAGTCCTGGCTCGAATCCCGCCGTGGTCGAGGGAAGATGATACTCGAGTGGTGATGTTTGGAAAGTACCCGCAAACGGGTTGAACTGCGTTCCCACGAAGGAGTTATCCTGGATATACTGCGAGAGTTGTTGAGATTGCTGAGGCATCGGCCAGTCTGTCAAGAGAGTTGGAGAATTGCGATGCCCTGCCTGAGGAAACTGCTGATGTGTACTGTGGCCTGGTGATGTTTCTCGCCTCTCATCCGTCACTCCTGAGGCCATATCTAGAGGCATCGGCCAAGTTGACCTCGCCGCCATATTCGTTGTAAACGGGTATCGGGAGTCTCGTTGGTCGAAATTGAGATCCAGGAGACCCTCTGAGGAGAAATCGAGATTCGAGGTCATTGTCGCGGTAATTCTCACGGGATGTCAATAGTATTGTAAGAAAGAGGGTTGGTGACACCGCTCTTTGAGGACGAGACGACCTCACGATGTAAGTCGGTGAGAGTCTGGTTGTAGGGTGGGAGGAATCTCTACGCCGGCTCTCAGGAGGACGAGATGGCGGTGAAGAGGGCCGGGAGAATTGCTAGCCTGCTCAGAAGACCCCAGAGGATCCCAGCCATTCGACCCGCAACAACGAATCAGCACCGAGGTGGATACCTCAAGCGAGGTTCGCTCTGCAGTTTGGAGACGCCAACCGGCGCACGAGGCCGCATTTCTGCCAATGACAGTTGAGGGAGCGCTGCCGGGGTCGAGCGAGGTTATGCTCAATTTGGAGCGTGGGGAGACAGTAGACACCATGGTTGGTGGACAGAGCTGCGAGAACACAAAACTGTGTTTTCCGTGGAGGAGGGGAGGCAGGGTGGTCCGAGCCATGTCATATCGACAAGCTTGTCCTCGCCCTCAACACTAACCGCAGCCCGGATCCAGCAGTGGAGTTGACCAGTTTTTGCAGCCAAGTCGGGCCCATCCTCCCCTCGCCAGCCACTAATATGGGCTAAGATTGGTAGCCGCCTGTCACGACCCTGCTGTCTCTCGGCTTGCGCGCTGAATCCCTTGAAGTTCGCCTCGCCTCAGGGCTTAACCCTCATGAAGGAACATGTTTGTCACTTGAGCGCTACTCGTACAAATGGCCCTTCCTGCCCACGTATGTGTGTGGGTTCTGGTTCCGGGGGTTGCATGTTGGTCTGGAGTTGAAATATTCCCTAGCAACAACCTTCAATCCTCAAGGGTCTCATCATGGTTCATCCGTGAGACGAACCAATATCCATTATCCAACCACCCGCACAAGTCGTTTGTTTGCACGCACAGTTCTCTTGACGGCATCCTTTGACGATCTTCAACAGCGGGGATGGAGGGGGGGATTTGATATCATAATCACACGGCTCACTTTGGGTTTTGTCCTCTCGTCAAATGAGAAGCCGTACTGGTACTGCACGACCGATCAAGATGAGCGAAATTCCACTTGGTGTTTGCCCGCACTTGACGAGAAACAGTCACTGAACTTCAAGGTTGACAGGTATCCCACTTTCGCAATTCGATGATCTCCTGTCTTTTGTAGCACAATGGCGAGACCCTGATGGATAAGGTGATGATGTTCGTACGTGGCACCCCTTTTCCTGTACCAAGCGAAGAAATGCCCCGCCATCTACCGGACTTTTTTCTTGAGATGAGCGTTTGAGAAAAAGTAATACGAACAAATAACGACATCGCAAGGCTTGAAGAGTCCCACAAGCCAGGAACGGTTCACAGCTAGAGCGAGTCAGGAATTGCCCCTCCTCTTCCGACTGTTAGGGTTTCATGGCCCGTTGGCCCTTCAAGAAGTTGGCATCTGGGTGCGGGTGCCGCGAAATCACCGGCTTGTACGGAGTAAATATAAGTATAGAAACAACAAGCAAAATAACAACGAAGATTCTCAACACAAGGGGATTTTCCCGGGATCGTCTCGCCGCCGCACATCCGTCCGCGAGTCGCAAATCGTAAGATGCAGATGCAAGCCATCTTGCTCCATATTCATGCACCAGAGCAACACTTATTGACGGTGATGGTTGCCCGCAGGAAGGGCGGCCGATGGAGAAAATCCATTGGATGAGTTGGGCATGCAACGCTGCAAACATGACATGAGAGGGCCAGTAGTGGCAAGGTCGACTTCGGCAAGTCTCGAAAGGAAAGTCTCGAAGAGATGGCCATGATTCATATTTCGTCTGGTGTGGTGTGGTCCTCAGCTTGCCATCGCCATGTCGGTATGGGTAAGGTTGAGGTCTTGAGCACTCCATCTCGTGCTACCGGTACTCACGTACTGTAGAGGTACTTTGCGGAATGGAGGTGGAGTTGGGACGAGCGTTGAGGCGTTCTTGCTCTTATCGCGATAGATCATAAGGCGATTCTGGCGGCTGCCGAGGGGCATCGCGGGCGCGGGGTCAGACTGCCAGTGGGCGTTTTGATGTTGTAAATGATGGCGTGGATTTAGATAATTTGGCTATGGTCATGTGACTTTACATCAACGCGCGATACTATTGAGACACCCCAAAAGCTTAATGAGTCACCCTCAAAGTTGACGCGCTCTTTTGCTAAACAGCAGACTTTAAAGCCTTGGAGTCGGCAGTTCGGTCAATGGTCCCAGCATTACTCCGTACATTAGTCTCTTCTTAAACTTCATAATACAGATTACATCATAGTGCTCACTGACATTATTTGAGGTGCACAAAGTTGATCACAAAAAGCAACTTCTTCTGCTGAAGACAACCTCTCACGCTTCGACCAGTAAATGATCCAAGTTTCCCGTTCCCAGCCACCAGCAGCAGCCCAAGCAGCCTTACGAGTACTCCTACTCCATACCTTAAGCGAAAATTCCAACCTCACCCCGCGCCCGCGCCTATTACCACGGCCACTTCATCGTCACTTTTTTCTTTGTCCAGTCCACTTCCCGTGACCACGACCAACTAAACCAGAAATCTGCCAACGCCCTGGCCGGGTGCAACAATGCCGTCGCAAAGCAGAATTTCACATGACATTCCCAATCAAAGAACGGAAGCGCCACCATAGAGTCATTTTCAACAAAAGGAAAATGAATTCGAATTCATCGTCGGCGTCATCAAGCAACTTCGACCGTGCTTCGTATACTGAACAACAGCAAACGCAAGTGCTACCGTCACGATCGGGGTTTGTAATCGAGGAGGTCAATTCAGAGAACGAGGCCGAGTTTGGGTCTGTAGCTTCCGGGAGTCCCATAGCCATGGCTGCAGCTACTGAAAGCATGATCCCCAACCTCTTCACCACCCTTCCACCAATCCGCGACTTTCTCGATACCGGGTCTTCTCAGATTCAGGACCAGACTATACAAGAGTGCCTTCCGTTCCTGGCCGGCATTGAGGAAGATGTAAAGACCAATGCATATGGCGTTCCCAATCTTGACCGGAAAAGACACATCCATTTTCTTCACAAGACTTTGGCAAGGTTACCAGCGGGATACGTTGCCGCCGACGCGAGTAGACCATGGATGTTCTACTGGGCGCTCAATGGCCTTCGCACTATGGGTGAGGAAATTTCAGATTACCGAGAGAGAGTCATCTCTACCATTAGTCCAATACAAAATTCAACTGGCGGGTTTGGTGGGGGAAACGGTCAAGCATCACATCTAGCACCAACATATGCCATTATATTGTCCTTAGCGCTGGTCGGTGGCAAAGAAGCTCTGGAAGTTATTGATCGAAAGGCCATGTGGAAGTGGCTTGGAGCATTGAAACAAAAAGATGGATCCTTCCAAATGTCCGTTGGCGGGGAAGTGGACATGCGGTAAGTTTGACAATACCAAATGGTCGGTTGAGACATTTATTGACCGAAGATAGGGGTGCATATTGTGCAACTGTGATTATCAGTTTACTTGACTTGCCATTAGAGTTGCCCAAAGACTCTTCAGCGTGGTCACCTGAACACACGTCGTTCCTTTCGGGACTCCCAGAATGGGTGGCACGATGTAAGTTTCCCCCCAATCACTAAATCACTACATGACTCAACCCCGCTAATTCATGTAGGTCAAACTTTTGAAGGCGGATTTTCCTCCAGGCCAGATGCTGAAGCACATGGTGCCTACGCATTCTGTGCTTTGGGGTGCCTCTGCATCATTGGCGATCCTCACGTCGTGATACCCAAGTAAGCAAGGTTCTCGTTTGGCACAACCGTGAAGCTAATTTGACAGGTACCTCGATGTTCCTCGACTGATATCCTGGCTTTCGGCTCGCCAGTATGCACCCGAGGGGGGGTTTTCTGGTAGAACCAACAAGTTGGTAGATGGTTGTTACAGTCATTGGGTGGGGGGCTGCTGGCCTTTACTTGAAGCTTGTCTTGAGGGGCCATCTTCCCCTACTACTTCAAACACAAACTTGAGCAACAGCATCTACAGTAGAGAGGGTCTTATCCGATACATATTATGTTGTTGTCAGGATCAATCAAAGCGAGGAGGATTAAGAGACAAACCAAGCCAGTAAGCGCAAAAAAATCTCCGCTTACGCATATTTCTCGCTCACCTTCTATACAGTTCCTCTGACTCGTATCACACATGTTATGTTCTTGCTGGGCTCAGCTCTGCACAACATAAGTGGCGTTTCAACCTTTCAGAAAGCAAAAGCGAGCAGGTCGAGAACCTGACTTCCGCCTATCAATGGACCTCGGAAGTGATGACCGAGGAACCCCAGATTTTCGATGAGGAAGATCGGGTCAAAACTTTGCATCCAGTGTTTGTGATACCCGAGGGGGTCGCTGAGGAAACTAGAGCGTACTTTGCCTCAAAAGGTGGATTTTGAAGAGATTTTGCTGGTCGCATGTGTTTCGCCACAATTGTGGTTCTGACATACCTCCCATGGCAAAACTGTTGCATTCAAGCATAAGTAGGCGTGGCGAGAAATTATATTATAGCAAATCTCAATCGAGCTTTGCGATCTTTGATATTGGTGTTTTCAGCTGTCAGTCAAGGTAATCGTGACCGAGAATTGGCGGTAGTCCCGTCTTATCAAGTAAATTGGACGTTCCTAACATACATGAATGGGACGTTGGCAGCGTTACTTTGCATATACTTAATCTCTCTTATGTCAAATGTCAGACTCTCACTTAGTCAGATTCTTATTGTCCTACATATATCTGTATATCATCATAGATCTGACAATCTCACCATCCACTTCGCCCCTTTCATTATTGTTGTCCCTGGGGTAGGAGAAGTATCAGCGATGAAGATTGAAAGTTCTCGCGCGCTGCAGAGCCTATCATCTCGATTCGCAGGTACATTTCGGTACTTGGAACGGAAGGAGGTTTTCGCTGACGAAACACTGGGATCGGTGGGATTATCTGTCCTGTGCATGATCAACTGGCAATATTGCAATGGAAACCGGTAGAATGAAACGTGATGATGCTCTATGCAGTCAGATCCAGAGTAAGCAGACTGGGAGACACAACAATAATGAAAGCCAAGAGATCGTTTGATATGAATTGACCTGTCAAATGGCCCTCACACATATCTTGTTCATTTACTACACCCGACCTTTCCTCGGACTTTGCAATTCTCCAGCGCTGCGATGCCGGATTTCCTGATGTGATTTTTGGAGTTGAGGCGACATGTCCGCCACAAAAAGGAGATTTGCTTGCCGATGATATGCAACATCATCCTCTTTCCAAATCTCGCCGAGTTCGCTCATACTTTTCGGTTACGGTAATGTGTCGTATTCCCCATCGCTCATCGACAGACAGCACGTTATCGGTAATGCCGGGAAAACAAACATACCAACGAGCATTCATGTTGTGATAACTGCTCGTACCTACAGCTGCCGTCAATCATGCTGGGTGGTGAGGCCAGCTTGGGGTGAACAGCAGCTTCTGGATGGAACCATGATCACGAAATGCTCACCCCTTGCCACGGTAGAACGATTTCCAATTGCGCGTTTCCAATCATGTGCCTTTCTTTCTCCGCATTCATTTTCACGGGCGGGTGGGTCACTGATTCAGGGACAACAGGAGGGATCTGAGTGGTGGAGACGAAGTGCAGTAAAGTGCAGCCAAATGCACATGTAAGCAGGCCAGGCCAGGCCAGAATCGAGTACCTTCTCCGCCAGCGAACATCGTACGAATGAAATCCAGACGATTGGACCAGTAGGCACGGGAGTTCCCTCCAGCCAATTCTTCATCACATTCCTGTTCGGGCCATCAGCATCTGATGGGCGAGTCGTCCAGACGGTGGCTTGCGAACTTGGTTCATGGTTGTTGTTGACCTTGAAAGTCGAGGACGGTCAGCATAGGACCGGATAGGCGTGAGGGCAGAATGCTAGGGTGGTGGCATAGGAAGTAGGTTACTCGTTCAGCAAAAGCACCGAGTAGACAGATACGATGCGATAGGGTACAGTTCGGTATGGGATGTATGGTATTGAGACCCGTTGGTCGCTTCTCGCTTCTCAACTCTTCGCTGGCAATGGCAATATCTGGCTAGTGGTTCGTCCTCGTCCTTGGTGCCGGATTAGGCCCGTTGGAAGCTTAAGTGGAAGAGCCGGGTCAACCGATTGACCAACCACGGCTTTTCTGAGCCTGGATGCGATGCTGCTGCTCACCCAGCAATTGCTATCAGTCAGGTACGACAACACCATGGCGAATCCAGTACCAGTACCCTGCGCGCCGGTTCTTGGTACAGCACTCGACAACGTCAACACTCCCACTCCCCCATCCACTGCGAACCACTATAATCCTCCAAAGGCAGTGGCTGCACTGGCTGCACTGGCTGCCATCCTCGCCCGACAGAAGGGCTCACAGACGGGAGCATCGCGGGGTTCATCGCCAGGATCGAGAGCCCTCCTTCTGCTGCGGCCACCAGTCGGTTCGATGCTTTGTTTTGATTGTGCTCGCGCTCGTTGGCTCTTGCAGTTGCAGACCACTTCTGCACCGGTTCATCGTCGATAGCTGCGCTCGGTTGGCCATCCTCTACTCTCTTAATATTGCCCTTTTCCCCTCCCCTTTTTCTCATCCCTCCAGCAACAATTCCCTCTTCCCTCCCCCAACCTGCTTAATATACGCCGTGGTATACAGCCGTATGCCTCTTTGGATTTGGTCGGCATATTGTTGCTGCTTCAGACCCCCTTCAGCGCACTGCCAGCTCATCATTGCATGCGCCCCAACCTTGTCCACGGCTAGTCGTCGGCCTGCCTTCCTTCGCCTTCCCCTTCCTCTTCCCCACGCCCTCGCTTGACTCTGAGAACAACAACCACCCAGAGAAAATCCGACCTCCTCCCTCCCTCCTCCCTCCCTCCTCCCCCCATTTCAATGCACCCCCCAAATCCCCAAAAATTATGAGGTGGTGCTGAGGAGGTCCAGTACTTTCCAGCCACTGTGTATGCATTCCACGCTCACCGACTTCGTGTCAAGCCCTTCTCCAGTCAAATCCAGCGTCTAACGCGCGCTGCCCCTCATCCAAGTGGCAGAGGGGTACCGTGGTAGTGCGGGGCAGAGACTATCTCGCTCCTTAACCACTTACGGCAATGGAGGAGCCTTGACCGTCTCTCTCGCTCTCTGATCGGGCCCATCGAATCCCTGGGGGGAAGTAGCCTTGGGATGGGGAGAGTAGAGTCGGAGGATCGTGTCCCTGGGCAGAATGTGCGGAGTCTCTGTGACGTTTATTGTGCATTGGACCCATGGTGCCATCGATTTCCGTGCATTAGTTGCCAGCCCGGCGGATCTTAATGGTACACAGAGGTGACCTTGAATGGTGTCTCTTCCCTGGAATCAACGCTACTGCTGCATCTGTCTTCGGCAGCAGGATACTAGAAAATTTTTGCCCCGAGATCGAGGGTTGGGACGTCGACTACTTTCGCCACTTCGATGCATCGTCCGACAATTTCTGTCGCTGCAGACCAACCTCAGAATGGACAATTGATATTTCCAAGCCGTCAAAGATCATCACTTTGTATGCGTTCCCATGTTGTGGTGGAGTTGCCTAATCTCTTGACATTTATCAACTGGCAACGACCTACGCCAACACATCGATATGGGTCACACATGAAGAGCCGCATCATGACTTGCATCTGGTTCAACCCTTCGTCCTATCTCGAGAGAGCCTGGATATTTCCTACGGGAATTCAATCCATAATCCTTGCATAGCGCTAATCACAAACTCTGCAATAAATCATAAGTGGCCGCCGTTGATGGACGTAGTCCTGCACAAACCCCCCCTAGACACCCACCCGATCAGTCAGCCCTACTCCTCATCACCACAACGTCGTCCACACATCATTGTCTTTACATACACATCACTGATTTGGTGCATATTTCCCTGTATACTTTGGAGATTGGGCTCAATTGCATCTCTCAACATCAGATATTTTCCCTTGCTTCAATCCTACTTCGGCATCCCTGACCCCTTTTCATCAAACTTGTTTTACCACACATACGTCTGCACGGCGGAAAAGGCTGGTTCCTGGAAACGCGCCTCGTTCTGGGCAATATAAATCATCAAATCAGGTGATAATGGGTGGTTTTTATATGGCATATCTGGAGAGTACGTCGATTTATTATTACCGAAATTTTCTTTTTGGGGAAACTTTCCCTGGTATACACCCCAAGACCTTTGATCTTGTTTTGGAAACCAATTCTATACATTCCAAAAAGTATCACGCTCTCAATTCATCTTTCAGTCCCGTCTTTTGTACCAGCAGAGCAGATCCGGGGTTGTTGATGCCCAATGTCGGAATTTGGTCCGGGCTGTACCAATGGATTTGTTGATCGCCCTCATCGTGTATTTTCGTTATATGGAACGCTCATTACCAAAAATGTGAGCTTAGTATGCCCACACAACCACTGACATATCATCTAGGTTTGTGCCGACGTCGTGGATGGGAAGATCCGCACTACTCGTCATACAGAAGTGAATCGGGATACACCTGTTTTGTAGAGGTCAATGGGCGACAATACCAAACCGATCTCGCCTACGAGTCCGGAGGGTTGGCCCAGGAGAACGCAGCAATGCGTGCATTCATGGTCTGCCGAAACTTCTCGGTCAATGGGGGAATGTTGGCTCGCAATGGCGTTGTCCAAGGACTGCCTGCCAATGAGAGCAGTAGCCGACACCGAAAACGATCAGGAGCCAGAAGCCATTCAGTCAATTTGAGCAGCAGCAGTTCCACGACTTCTTCGGAGTGAGATGTGTAGACACTGAACGACAGGACCCGCAACAAACAAGGATTCAATTGTCGGTTTTTCTGGCTGCAGACATCTAATGCCCCATCTTCAACCCCAACCATAACTACTCTGCTCATACTTACTGGATAAAACCGATCGATGCGCAGAGCACCTCCTCATCCCTTTGAAGAAATCAAGGGCCACACAATTTCACGAAATCAAACGAAATGACGCGAACGAATGAATAAAAGAAAAATCCCCGGCCTGGCAACGAGGCAAAAAGAAAAGTTTACGAACGCTCGACACGACAGAAGAATCCGTCAAAAATACTTAACAACCATGCAATGTAGCGGACGAATTTCATTTCTCCTCCAAAATAAAAAACCCCTTATAACTTTTTCCCCCCGAATATTATCAAGAGAATATTTTCTTCGAGGCTAGGCAAGGGTATTATACAGCACCAGCCACTTGGGATCAAAACAGAGGCAACTCTGAAAACGCTTACTGTCTTTACGGGACTGGCTTAACTTCTTTTTATCTCTCGTTTTGCGAATTAAAGGCATGGAGGGGTGTTTTCTGTCGTTTCATTTTCATGATCATTACATTGGGGGCGGCGGTTTGAAGAACCTTTTTTTCTCTCTCTCATTTTGATTTAACCTGAGTGCATTTAGCCAGCGTGGTGGCAGCGTTTGAAACTTTTTCTGAGATGAATTGATGTTTACGACTTCTCTTTTACTCCAACTGGGTGGTTCGTTTTTGTTTTTGCTTGGGTGAAAAAGGAAATGGGTTGGATTGATGTGTGGTGGGAGTGGAGGATTGATTGATTGACTGACTACGAGTACCTTTTACGATAAATGACTAGATGAAAAATAAAAATTCCATGGGCAACCTATTTTATTCTACTTTCTCCATTTTCATGAAGTCTCAAAGATCTGATTATTTTGATGTCTTGTTATTTGTTTACCTACTTAGTAGTGGTTTAACTAGACGTGAGATTCTCCACGTCGTACAAACTCCGGGCTGAAGGCAGGCTGCTTCCCGACGGCAGATCACCTACAGTACCTAAATAATGGATACAGGACTGTTTGATATGTATGCAAGAAAAGAACCGACATACATGTTCTTGACTTTTCTAGGCTATGTACCTTTTCTTACTGCATGCATTTGAACTAGGAATCCTTTTTTGCGTACTCCATACTCCACCAAGATGAGTGAGTGATTGACAGCTGATGGCGTTTGTAAGATGCACAGCCACAGATATTTTTTTGGTCGTTGGTCCTCGTGATTTTGTTGGGTAGTACCAGGTGATGGAATTAAACATTCGGATCTCGTGTTTGAAGGCTGTTTTTGGGACGTTGCCGACGACGGAATGGTAAGCGATGCGGGATTGGGAATCAGAGTGGCCACCTGAAGGAGGAGAGTCCCCTATTCGCTTGGAAGCGGTTGAAGACTGGAAAAGGATTTTGTCTTTAGAACTCACCCAAATAGCCCCTTTAATTTAAAAGGTCGAGACCCGTGGTTACTGAAGTTACTCTAGCGAGTTATGGATGGAGGAGCCGCACATATCATCACAACCATAGGGGTTGGTTCCTGCATCACCAATCATCATGGCGTCCGAATCAACGCGAGTCTCCTACCTCATCTACTTGGTAGTCTTGTCGGTTGGTCGGTTGCTCATGAGCTAAGATGGAGTCGTTGATGTCCACGACCGCTCTCCTACACGCGTTCCGTTGACATCGTCCTCTCATGCAATTGCACAGCAAAACGTGGGAACCGTGGCCACTGACAGCACAGGTGACCGTTTCCCCACGGGCGGGTGCCGCAGTGAGGAAGTAAATATCTAATTGAATTCAGCTAAGGTTGCTGCGATGTGCATTGTGCAGGATGTTCCCAGGTATCAGGATGCCAAATCTCGCGGCTCCATCCTGGCGTCTTGAACCCCTAGGTGGCTAGGTAGCTTCGAGCACGCTTAGTCCCCTAATAGCCGCATCCAGCTCCGCCCCTATTCGAGATTACCGTATTTTCAACCCACTCCACAGTCCACTCCACTGTGGCACTACACTACCTGTAGCGAGTAGTTCCCCAAGGCGGCTCATCTCCCATCTCATTCGACCGCCCCATGAATGCTGAGAAGTGTCCTTGAATCTAAGACCACGACCACGACCACCACTACCTTCTTCCTCGAGTCCAGCTTCGCACTCTCCGCACTGCACCAATTTTTCCCATCAAATTTCACCATCCTATTCACTTCTGCTCGCAGCCTCGCCGAGCACAACCCCGCGCAACTTTCTGCCATCGCATTCACTCGTTGCTCAAACGGCTACTAAAGTCAAATAATCATCAGATTGTGGGGTATCCTCTCGTACCCCTTTTAAATACCAATCCACCAAACTCCCAACACCCCAATACCACTTCTCCCAAGATGAAGGGTAAGCTGCTCTACTTCTAGACGTCAATTTCGCCCGCGCTGACATGGAAAACAGCCCTCATTCTCGTTGGTGGCTTCGGCACCCGTCTACGACCTCTCGTACGTTGAAACCCCGCCCACACGAAGCTCGAGAGCCCCCAAGGATGGATCGCAGATTCTCCAAAGCATTCAATTACGACAATGACTGACATATCGACAGACCCTCACTCTCCCCAAGCCATTGGTCGAGTTTGGAAACAAGCGCATGATTTTGCATCAAGTCGAGGCACTGGCAGCGGCTGGAGTCACAGATATTGTTCTGGCGGTTAACTACCGACCAGAGGTGATGGAAAAGTACTTGGAGGAGGTATGCCAGCGTCGAAAATCCTTCTAAAATTTACAAGGCTGACAAAATGGCCGCATGATAGTACGAGGAGAAATTCAACGTCAAAATCACATTCTCGATTGAATCCGAACCTCTAGGCACCGCCGGTCCCCTCAAACTCGCAGAAGAAATTCTTGGAAAAGACGAGAACCCATTCTTCGTTCTGAATTCGGACGTCATCTGCGAATATCCTTTTGCGGACTTGGCTGCTTTCCACAAGGCTCACGGTCAAGAAGGTACTATTGTAGTCACCAAAGTCGAGGAACCATCGAAATATGGTGTAGTCGTACACAAGCCAGGACACAACTCACGCATTGACCGGTTCGTCGAGAAACCAGTTGAGTTTGTTGGAAACCGCATCAATGCCGGTATCTACATCCTCAACCCCAGCGTGCTCAAGCGCATCGACTTGCGCCCTACATCTATCGAACAAGAGACCTTCCCCGCGATTTGCGCCGACGGACAATTACACTCATTCGATTTGGAGGGATTCTGGATGGATGTTGGACAGCCAAAGGATTTCCTTACTGGAACCTGCCTCTACCTCTCCTCCCTCACCAAGAAGGGTTCCAAGGATCTCACCCCGGTCACCACACCATACGTCCACGGCGGCAATGTCTTGATCGACCCCTCTGCCAAGATTGGCAAAAACTGCAGAATTGGCCCCAACGTCACAATCGGTCCCAATGTCGTTGTAGGAGATGGTGTTCGTCTTCAACGGTGTGTTCTCCTCGAGGGATCCAAAGTCAAGGATCACGCATGGGTTAAGAGCACTATTGTAGGCTGGAACTCGACGATTGGAAAGTGGGCACGTCTGGAGAATGTGAGTGTGTTGGGTGACGATGTGACGATCGGTGATGAGATTTATGTCAATGGTGGGAGTATCCTTCCTCATAAGAGCATCAAGGTTAATGTGGATGTCCCGGCTATCATCATGTAAAAAACAGCAAAGCAAGCAAAAATTCTTTCTTCGTTCTTTCCACCCCACTTCTTCATTTTCCAGGCTTTTTCTTTGAAATGAAAAGACGAGAGACGTTGCATTGTGGACTGTTTTTGCATCTTTTTTTGGTGGGGAAATCGGTATCGGGGAATCACAGATTTGCATTGAGCGATACTTTTTATTTCTTCCTTGTTTTTGGGATCGGGATGGACGAATGGATGGATGGATGGATGGATGAGCGTGTGTGTATGTTTTGCGAGCATCATAATTTTTGTATTTCTTTCTATGTTTGATATCTCCACTCTTCCTCTTTTTTCAAGTCGTTTTTTCTGTTTCCAGCAGGCGAGGCGTGAGCATGTGTGTATGGCGTCCTTGATGGGGGGTTTTTTCTGGCTGGCTGTGGGTTCTGGGGGGCAGAGGAGGCAGGGTGGAAAGGGGGGAG